TAATAGCCATGCCTGTATCGCTTCGAGTAAACCTTCTTCTTATTGGGAAGCTTACTTTGTTTATTTTTCTGCATTTTTGATGATGGTAACTCAATTAGTGGCAAATTTCCCAAACACATAGGTAGCGTCGTTTTGGTTTTACACCGTCTAAATGGTTGACCTTGTAGTTTACCTTCTACGGTATTACAATTTGATTTAGAATTCTCACATTGATAATCACGAACACTATTTGAATTGTTACTGACTTTACTCTGTAGCTTATCACTTTGATGTCCATAACTATACATTTCGGTTGCGAAATGTTGTAAAATGCGGATAATATAGCCTTGCGAAGTTTGCAATTTTCAGTCATTTTGTATTAGAAACGGGAAATTGATGCCCCAACACCCGATCGGGCTGCCAATTTCCCATGCGTAATACAAAGTGACTGAAAAACGGCAAACTTCGCAAGGCTATATTATCCGCATTTTACAACATTTAATTTCGCAACGAAACTTTGGAATGTTACTAATTTTGTGATAGATCGGAAGCTGTGATGAAATTTTTGTCTAGATCAAAATTTAGTCTATAACAGGGGCGGATCCAGCGTTTTGGATAACAGGTTTACTAGGTCCACACAACAACTAGAAATTTTTAAAATTCGGGCCTCTGAAACAGCATTTCCTGCGTTCTGGTGTCACCTTTTAAATCAATTTAATGGTTAGAAGATATATGTTTTTAAGAGAATTTTGGACTAATTATATACGCAGGTCAAACAATGAATTGAACCTTTTCGGAAACTTATTAGCTGGTGATAAAAGTATAGGATTGTTTATTTATTTATTTATTAACTTTACAACCATACATAAAATAGACTAAAACACTACATAATATGGTTGAAGGTATGGTCAACAGGACATGAATAGCCCCATATGAAGACCAACCTTAATGAAAACAAACTATAACAAACATAAATCAAAGACGATAACAAATATAAAATTTACAGAAAACATGACGAATTACGAACAACAGCTTAAGTTGAAAGAGCGGCACTTAGAACAGAAGGTTTTCCAAGTGCGCATTCTGTTTAAAAATGGTAAATTTGATTGGCAAATTGCTGACACATCGATATTTATTATAAGTACCGAACAAGTAGAGATGCTTTTAATATAAACATAGTTGTCAACTAATGCAAATGGTCCATTGGAGGATTTGAAATGACATCTCATACGAATAAATCACTACTTGTATATTGATTATATTTTCAGATCACAGCAGTACGGCAGTATATAGCAGACATTTTAGACAACTCAGACAAGAAATTCTTGGTCTTCGCTCACCATGTCGACGTGATGAAAGCAATTGAACAGGAGGTGGTGAAAAGACGAGTGAAGTATATCAAAATCGCTGGCGATGTTCGTTCCGTACTTAGAGGGGTAATATTCTTGTTGAGATTCTCCATGTTTTGATTTTATTACTGCATGGGTTGCAGCAAGCGTTACAACACAGTAGATGATGGTCAAGTTGGTCAACTTTCAAGTACTAGTTAAAACATGAGCAGCCCATCTTTATCTGGTATAAAAACTCGAGCCGAAGACGAGAGTTTGTATATCAGACAAAGATCGGATGCGAATGTTTTAACGTGCTTATAAAACGGCCCATCTTATATGAGTTCTTTGGCGAAGTAATTTTAAAAATAAACATTGTCTACGCCGAGAAAATCAAAGCTGAAGTTCATGTAAATCAGGACAAATCTTTATCCGATTTGCAAACATTGATTAAACATTCATTTCTTTTGTATTTTCCTCATGAATTATTAATGATTTTATAAATGTCGATACTTATAGGAGGAAGAAAATTAAACTCTCAATTCTATTTATTTACCTCCAAATACAAGACTACTACATATAATGAAAAGGATGAACATTATTTTCTCACTCTGATAACTGCAGGTTGACCAACATCTGCTGGTGATATAGTGCTCAGTGAAACCCAGCTATAAGAATACAAAGAATCGCTTAGCAATTATATTTCATTTCACAGTCACTCGTGCACCAGTTTCAAACTGATAGTTCAACACGTGTCGCCATCTTAAGCATCTTGGCTGCTTCGATGGTAAGTTTCGTTGTTTATAATTCTTGGAAAAATTATTTTGACAAACCTATTCTAATTATGTCATTTTCAGATTCTTCACATGCCTAGTTACCTTTGTTCTGATAATGTAAACATAGAATAAAGCAAAGGTTACTACGCAGTAAAAGTCTCACAACTTGTCAACAAGATGTGTTCGCAACAAGATTGTAGCAAGCTTGTCAACAAGTTGTAACAATGCTGTTATTTTATCAAGTTGCTACAAGGTTGTCACTCACAACTTGTTGACAAATAGTTGAATTGCAAGACGATAACAAGTTGTTGGAACAACTTGTAACAAGTCTGTTGGGCTCAACAACCTTGCAGCAAGTTGTCAACAAGCTGGGAACAAGCAGTACGAACACATCCTGTTGACAAGTTGTTGGAACAGCATTGCTACAAGTCTGCTGCAGGTTTGTTACAACTTGTGCGTTTTTACGTGTGTGATAAGCGATTAATTGGTAGTGAATATAGGAATGCAACGGACCCGAAGACGCGTTAGCTCGTAATTAACTATCGTTTATTCTCGAACTGAGAATTTCAGTCATGTTGTGAGATCAATTGCTTTTGATTTAAGGGAATCACTCTGACAGCCGCTGACCACATAATATTCAGTGAACTTCATTGGACTCCAGGCGTGATGCAACAAGCCGAGGATAGAGTACATCGGATTGGTCAGGAGAACTCCGTGCTTGTCCAGTATCTTGTTGCCAGGGGAACGATCGATGAAGTGTTATGGCGTATGCTTTGTACTAAGGTAGATGTTTTGGATCTAGACTTGCAAAACAAAAAGTCGACTCGAGTTTCTTCCGCTCCTCGCTAGAATCCTGGAATTTTACTCTTTTAATTTATGTCTAACTTTATAAAATGCCAGTTATCTTGTAACAACTGTGTTTCTGATCGTACAGCGATGTCTTGATATGTTCTAAATTCTTGACTATTTTATAATTTTTTCCCATGCACAGAAGATTTATTAACTTAAATATTAATACCATTTTTTATGTCCTGTTTAAATTAAAGACATGCACGTTTGGGCAATGGACCTATTACCTAATGAACAAAATTTTGATCTGGACAAGGCTAGACAAGTATTTCATCACAGCTTGAAAGAGCATCACAAAATTAGTAATATTCCGAAGTTTCAGAACGCGATATTAATTTCCCGTGCGTAATACAAAATGACTGAAAAACGGCAAACTTCGCAGGGCTATATTATCCGCATTTTACAACATTTGGCAACGAAACTTCGGAATATTACTAATTTTGTGATGCTCTTTCAAGCTGTGATGATCAAAATTTTGTTCATTAGGTAATAGGTCCATTAGGACGAAAAGCGAACGAAAGCTTGTCACAAGGAAAACACACTGTACACTAACTAAAGCTTTCTCTTCCTATCTTTCAAGATTTACGTGACTTCGACCGCATTAAATGGCAAGTTACAAGGTCTTGATGTTGAAGAAGGCAGCGAAAGTCAATCGAAACTTCTCGAAGCATTTTCAGCTTGGGTGATGGAGGACGAAGACGATGGCGTGGCAGAAGATGATTTTCTTTTTACCCATGTAAGTTTGAAACTCGGCAACTTTACACTTCATTTGTGGTGACTGTGTGATACGTTCATTCATTCAATATTTATGTAATCGACAATCTCTGCCCTAGAGTCAAAAGAAACGAAAACAAGACGTGCTTCAAAGATCACTGACGGAGTTTTTTCATTCACCTTCTACGACGAAATGCAGAAAAATAGACAGCGGTAAAGAATGGTCCGAGTCTCAGGATTCATCCACTCGGGTATGCTGAATTATACCACAATCAATTCTAAACTGTTCTCCCTATAGAAGTCCAGTAAGGATCATCCCTTGTTGATTCTGTGTTATTACAGGGGGAAACCTAAACTAAACTAACTTTATTAATACTGGATAGCTCTATCAGTTCTAAACTGTTCTTCCTAGAGGTCCAGCAAGGATCATCTCTTGTTGATCCAGTGTTACTTCAGGAGGAAACCTAAACTAAACTAACTTTATTTATACTGGATAGCTCTATCAATTCTAAACTGTTCTTCCTAGAGGTCCAGTATGAGTCATCTCTTATTGATCCAATGTTACTACAGGAGGAAGCCTAAACTAAACTAACTTTATTTATACTGGATAGCTCTATCAGTTCTAAACTGTTCTCCCTAGAGGTCCAGTAAGAATCATCTCTTATTGATCCAGTGTTACTACAGGAGGAAACCTAAACTAAACTAACTTTATTTATACTGGATAGTTCTATCAGTTCTAAACTGTTCTTCCTAGAGGTTCAGTAAGGATCATCTCTTATTGATTCAGTGTTACTACAGGAGGAAACCTAAACTAAACTAACTTTATTTATACTGGATAGCTCTATCAGTTCTAAACTGTTCTTCCTAGAGGTCCAGTAAGGATCATCTCTTATTGATCCAGTGTTACTACAGGAGGAAACTTAAACTAAACTAACTTTATTTATACTGGATAGCTCTATCAGTTCTAAACTGTTCTTCCTAGAGGTCCAGTAAAGATCATCTCTTATTGATCCAGTGTTACTACAGGAGGAAACCTAAACTAAACTAACTTTATTTATACTGGATAGCTCTATCAGTTCTAAACTGTTCTTCCTAGAAGTCCAGTAAGGATCATCTCTTATTGATCCAGTGTTACTGCAGGAGGAAACCTAAACTAAACTAACTTTATTTATACTGGATAGCTCTATCAGTTCTAAACTGTTCTCCCTAGAAGTCCAGTAAGGATCATCTCTTATTGATCCAGTGTTACTACAGGAGGAAACCTAAACTAAACTAACTTTATTTATGCTGGATAGCTCTATCAGTTCTAAACTGTTCTCCCTAGAGGTCCAGTAAGATATATCTCATATTAATTCAGTGTTACTATACAGGAGGAAACCTAAGCTAAACTAACTTTATTTATACTAGATAGCTCTATCAGTTCTAAACTGTTCTTCCTAGAGGTCCAGTAAGGATCATCTCTTATTGATCCAGTGTTACTACAGGAGGAAACCTAAACTAAACTAACTTTATTTATACTGGATAGCCCTATCGGTTCTAAACTGTTCTCCCTAGAGGTCCAGTAAGCATCATCTCTTATTGATCCAGTGTTACTACAGGAGGAAACCTAAACTAAACTAACTTTATTTATACTGGATAGCCCTATCGGTTCTAAACTGTTCTCCCTAG